AGCATTATTTTATGTATATGTATATGAAAATTGTGTAAAAATGTCTATAAACTAAATTATTTACTTTTTTGTGTTAATTATAACTATTATATGATATATAAAATCATAAAATAACTTTTAGGAACAACTTGTCTAGTTCTGTCATGTCTAGTGCTAATCCTACCAAATACCAAACATACACTTGTTTTGTCCAATTATGTTTTGTCCACTTATGTCTCGTCCAGTCCTACCCTCTTGTCCTGTCCATGCTTGTATAGTTATGGCTTGTCTAGTCTTGTCCTGTCCAGGCCTGTACAGTTGTGGCTTGTCCAGTCTTGCCTGCGTACCAAAGGCTATATTCATGACTTATTAGGGCCCAATAATACTAATAGTGACTTAATACCTATTTGTATGCGGTTACCAATTAAACAACACACACATATACACATGCATATATACAACACATATTCACATCATATACGGTTACCAAACAACATACACATATTATCTATAATGTATCACACATACACATGCATATAGGATTCCTTTAGGTTCCCTCACACATATAGGGATCATGCCATAAAACATATATAACACATGTACACATATATACAATATTATGTACATAGATCCAACCGCAGTTAGCAAGTTAGCAACACATATGCACATTATATATGCATACATATAAAACGGACCGACCGATACATGTAATACATACATATATGTACACATAGCACATACAAATGGGAAAACAAGAATCCACTATGTTGCTAATTAGGAAGGATTAGTGACGGATGGCTTAGTGGTCAATCCGTCTCTAGTTAAAGGTGAGTTACGATTGCAAGTTAATATGTGTTAAGATTATCATTTTAATATATGTTTAGACTATGGTCAATTTCAAACATGTTAAAGTTTTTGAAGGAGATTAAGCTATGTTAAGCTTTGTGTCCAGCTAAGAAAATGTCATTGAAGTTTGCATTAATTATGAAAAGGTCAACGCGTCCATCAGATTAAGGATCACGGTTCATCAAAATGCATTGAGGTGGTTCCTATGTTTTTTTGGATTTTGGAGTTCCTACCAAATCCCAAGTCTATGTATGTGTGTGTATATATATTATATCAAATAAAAAGTAATGATATATTAAAAAATAAGTAAATAATTAATAAATATTGTTAAAGAAGATATAACTTAATGTTTGAAATTACAGTACAAAAACAAAATTTGGATTCGTAAGACCACAATATATTGTTGAAAATTTTGGTACATTCTATTAAATGTTGTTGACAAAATGGATCAATATCGTTTGAAATTTTACTGTTTAATTATTTCTTTAAGTAATGTTTATCTTTTTTACGTTTAATATAAATATTAAATTGCTTGTAACCTAATTGACTAATTAATAGTACGTATATCATATGAATAATTTGACCAATTACAAACACCTTAATATCGTTTTTATAGTATTTCATCAATAACTACTTATAATCGATCAAATTATACATCAAAATTTGAATTAGTTAATTAAATTGGAAAAAACATTAAAGATAAAATAAGTTAATAAGAATAAAGTAGAAGAAAGTCGGCCATAGTGATTAATAGTATATCATATAATTGTGAGACCGATGGGGACGAAACTTGGCCATAGCGATTCGGGTCCAAGATTCCCCATTGTGCCCCCCCCCCCCCCSCGGGAGTTTGGGCAGTGTCTTAGTCCCAGTGTGGCTGATCATCAGAAAAGACCAGCTATGGGGAGCACCGAGAACTTGATCCAAGTGATTGCGAACAAGCCCCTCACACTCCCCGAGTAAAAGCAGGTGGAGTAAGAATCAATACTGAACATCCCCCCCCCCCCCCCCCCCCCCCGGTAATCAATAAAATAAGTAAATAAGAATAAAGTAGAAGAACTCATATACCAAATGTACAAATTCAAACTTGAAAATGATCATTTGAATACGATCAGGGGGATAGGATCCCATGGAGCGACTCGTGAGCTCACAGGGATCATAGGATGTGATCGAAGAGGAAAACCCTTCTCTTCACTTCATTGATGGATTGGAGAATTGTTCACGACATAAGTCAGTGGAGGCAAACGGGCAATGAAGAAAAATACCTTCGAAGGCATGATTGCTGGGATCAGGAGCTGCTTAACATCATTGAGAATAGGAGATCAGAAGATTTGGTTTTTTTCAGATTATGAAAACCTCATTTATCGTCAATGATGTTAATTATGGATATTAACATCTATTAACATCTTCATTCTATTAATTTTAGTAACAAATTTCTTCAAAATGAGAAATATATGAAATTATTTAATTTTTACATAGAAACAAAAATATATGAAACAATTTCATAAAGAAAAAAATTATTTGAAACAATTTCATCAAGAAAATAATTATTTAAAACAATTTAATCATATTAAACAATTTCATTAAATTAAACAAAGAAATCGACGGTATATGTGTATGTATATATACAGATACTTATATGTATCTATGTGTATATACAAATAGACTTGGGATCATGTGAGACCAGCCTGTTTTCGTGAGACCAGCATTTTACACTTGAAACTTTACAGCAAAAATGCTGTGAATGTGACTTTTTAAAACCTTCACAGTGTTTTTGCTGTGAAGGTTCGACTTTTTAAAACCTTCACAGTGTTTTTGTTGTGAAGTTTACGTGTAAAAACGTGGTTTCACAGGTCTCACGAAAACAGGCTGGTCTCACGTGAACCCAACCCTATACAAAAAAAAAAAATATATATATATATATATATATATACACACATACATATATATATATATATATATACATATATAGATGAATGATCAAACGAGAGCGACACATATTTAAAAGAGCATGAAAACGGGCGAATCATATGTGATTTTACACTAACATCACATGTGATTTATGCGACCTTGCCCGGCGACCTGAAGACGCAGCTACAAGTCATCTGGACTCTTTTTTTGACCATTAATGTAAAATCCCATGTGATTTTGCATGTAATTTACCCGTTTTTGTGTTCTTTTAAATATGTACAATTCTCATTTAATTCTCCCTATATATATATATATACAGAGAGAGGGGGGTTGAGGGGAAAACCCGAAAAAGTAAAAAAAAAACTAAGTGACACCTGGATAACTAAGTACTTGAAATTGTTTTTTCGTTTTATGCACGTGTGGATGTTATGCACATGTGCATAACGGACAAATTGTTTACATATTACTTGTATGCAAATGTGCATACGGTACAAATGAATAATTATCAGGCTGCAGTTTTTCATTTTTTTGCGGTTGCTCCTAAATATATATATATATGTGTGTGTGTGTGTATGTGTGAGAATATGAGGATCTCCATTTAAGAACCCATAAAATTAGAATCACCTTGATAACTAATGTATCATGTGTTATTACATATAATTTTTTTTATGGAAGACTAAAATATAGAATATCGATTAACATATATTTGTTTCACAATGTGTTTTTTTTCCACATGCATTAGTTTTACAATGTGAATTTTTTAATCCTATTTGTTAAACAAAAATTACATATAAAAAAGTTTTATATTGTGAACCATATACATATGAAATAAACACATTGTAGAAAAATATGTGTTTATCAATACTTTAAAATATTAGCCTAATATGAGAAAAAAAAACCATGTAAAATAATAGTTTAGAATAAAAACTTTCATAATTATCAAAATATATGGAGTTCTCAAGTAATTATGATGTAAGTGTATATAATAATATTAGATTATATTATTTATTAAAGTAATATAAAATAGTATGTTCTTTTTTTAAAATAATTAAAAGGCAAAAGACGTAGCAGTAAGGATTAAAGAAAGTCAAAAACAAAGACCAATGTATATATAAATGGCGGTATCGAGTTGGACCCTTTAACCTTTACTTAGATATGAAGGGGAATAAGGCCTAGTGGCTACCATCGGAAATACAACGACGGTGACGTAACTCTGACCGCCGATCATTGAATTCTTTGTTTCTATGTTTGACTTTTGTATGTACGAAACTTCAACCATATGATATTTAGCTGTTAATTGGCTATAATATATATATATATATATATATATATATATATATATTATAAACAAATGGATTGGCAGTCAGCAAATAGGCCCGTTTCTTACGGGTCTAACCTCCATAATCTAAAAGACCTAAACGTTGAAGTTGAATTCTTCAAGTTCTTCATTTTCACATCTCATATATTTCTTTTATTAATCAATTATCCTTTTATTTATTTCTTTCCAAGAGTTATTTGATTATTTGAACCATGATCATGTGATCCAATTAGTAGAACCGCAAATCAATTGAATTTCATCATGAAATATGTTTAAAGCTAATTAATGTTTCACTGCTTTTATATATATATATATATATATATATATATATATATATTATTCTCAAAAAACAGATAATTAATATTGTAAACGTAAACATATAACTTAATTATAAAGCTTGAAACATCACCATAAAATGATACATTTCAACTTTGAATCAATACGATTTGTCGAGTTAATACTAATCCGAAGGGAAAACGTACATGACAAACACTTGCAATATGCAAATTGATTCATTTTCATGAATCAAGAAACAAAAATGAAAGAAGGTTTTTAATTATTTCAGATGGAAATTAAGTATACAAATTGAGTGAGGCGTTGTGTGTGTGTGTGTATATATATATATATATAGAGAGAGAGAGAGAGAAAAAGAGAGAGAGAGAGAGTATATGTATAAAGAAAGTCTTGGTGTGAATAAAAAAAAAAAGAGATAGTAGTAGGAGTAGTAGTAAAATAATTTATAGGTGATGGCATGCAAATGGGGCATTGACATTTTTTCCATATTTATTAATAAGTAAATATTGAACAAATTAAAATCAAAGAAAACGTATATACAAGTCAAACATTGCTGGCCCCCGGCCCCTCATTATAAGAACAGATCTAAGCTGCTGTATACATATCCTCACTTATAAAAATCCATTCAAAAGCTAAATACTTGCAGAAGATTACTTTTATTCGCCATGGAAGTTGATCTGCAGAGGAAGAATACAAGCCAAATCAAGAAGGAAGACAAGGGAGACAGCAATCGCCATCGTGGTGAAGAAGATGACTCCAAACAAGAGGTTGTTATTCCTAAGGTGCATCGATTTATCGATCAAGCTTTAATTTCTTTCTGTTTTTCTTGTTTAATTTTGAATATTTTGCTATTTTCTTAATTCTGCAATTGATTGATGAAGAGGTTGTTTAATTTTCATAATTAAGGTACATGAAGCTTTAATTCTAAGTTTTCGTGTTTAATTTTGAAGTTTTTGATAGTTTCTTTGCAATTAAGAGGTCGTTTTTACATGTATGAAGCTATACATATATATATATGCTATTTTCTTTGGAAAGACGAGGGTGTTAGTTCATATATGATCATCCCTTAATTGGTGTATGAACACAAATATTGTATATAAAATAATGATAATTGGGAAGAACAAAAACCAATTTTTTCTTGTTTATTTGAATCTTTCTTATGTTGCTGTCTTTTTTTAAAGTTATAATGCAAAAATTAAAGAGTTTCAGACAAGTATCTTATGGGTTTTCTTTGAAATATCAGATCTAATGATTGTGGACTTTGTTCTAAACCACATGTATGAAACATTTATTATCATCAACTTTTTGAGCATTGACAATTCTAGAATTTTTATTATTTTCAAGATTCAATATTTCATGTTGATCCTTCCTACATTGAAAGTGTTCAAGAGTCTCTTTATATTATATATATGGAGTAATTAATAACAATACGATATATTTTATTTGATTTGAAAAACATCGAACTCATTTATGATCAGAAAGTAGTTATATGATATCGAACACACAATTTGAAAATAATGAGTTCGTCATAAGTATTTCGAAGCTTTAATTATCTTGAATACAAGTAAAATGGTAAGAATAGAAAGCATAAGTAATCAACTTGATAATAAGTTTACACGCTACAACAACCCTAATTCTTTCCAAATTAATTAATCCAAAAAATATCGATAATTTATTATCTTAATTAATATTCCAATAATTCATTAAACGATTCATAAAACAGTTTTCAAATTCATGGCTTCCAAGTTATTCTTACGAATAGTTTAAGAAGGTGAGACCTTTACAGTTATGCAGTGATTTGATTTCTGTTTTAAAGCCTCGACTATATATATATATATATATATATATATATATATATAGGGTTAAACTTGTAATAAATCCATCTTCTTTTTGTTGGGTGTCATCCTTTCTTATCTCGGTTACATTTGATTCGATATAATTCTAATTGATTCAAATGTATGTATGTATGTGTGTGTGTATGTGGCATGGGCATGCTATATATATATATATATATATATATATAATTGGTTTGAAAGTTTGGCTAAAATGAATCTGGTATGAATGAATGCAGGATGAGAAGCAGTTTGAATTAACCAAAGCTGAAATGGGTGAGGTGAGGGAAGAAAACCAGAGGCTAAGGCTGCACCTGGACCAGATAATGAAAGACTATCAAACCCTTCAAAAGAAGTTCCAAGACATTCTCCATCAACAGCAATTAGAAACATCAACCACTGTCGCCACTGCCACCAAACCTAACGAACAACCACGAATCAATGACGAATCCGATCTTGTTTCCCTCAGTCTTGGAAGGACATCGTCACCTGAACTGGTCAAGAAAGATAAGAGATGTACAACTCCTCCAACCAAAAGTTCGGAAGGGTTAGGCCTTGGACTCGAGTACTGCAAATTTGAACTTTCATCCACCACGCAAGCTGAATCTTCGATCAATCCAAGCCCTGATAATAGCTTGGAAGAAACTAAAGATGAAGCTGGAGAGACTTGGACGCCACAGAAGCCTCCGACTCCAAAGAGAAGTGGAGATGATCAAGAGGTTTCGCAGCAAAACCCTACGAAGAAAACTAGGGTTTCCGTTAGGGTTCGTTGTGATACACCAACGGTAATTAATCATTTAATCTCTTATTTACGTTTAGTGTTTAACTTTACATGTAATTCACAAGACTAACTAAACGTACATATGGTTATAATCCACAGATGAATGATGGATGTCAATGGAGAAAATATGGACAAAAGATCGCGAAAGGAAATCCATGTCCACGGGCATATTATCGGTGCACCATTTCTCCGACTTGCCCAGTGAGGAAACAGGTATAACTTCAAAATCACTCGATTGTTTTGTGATGACATTGATTGTTGTTTATGTTAATTAGTTTATATTTCACGTATTGTTTTTTGATAAATTGATGGGAAATGTGTATATAGGTGCAAAGATGTCCTCAAGATATGTCGATTCTGATCACCACATACGAAGGAACACATAACCATCCGCTTCCGGTGTCTGCCACCGCAATGGCTTCCACCACCTCCGCAGCCGCGAGTATGTTAACATCGGGCTCCTCGACCTCCGGATCAAATTCAAACCCTAACCCTAGCATCAGCTCTCACGGGCTAAACTTTTATCTCAACGAGAACTTAAAATTAAAGCCGATTTACCTGCCACATTCTTCGATATCGCCATCACCCTCATGCCCAACCGTCACTCTTGATCTTACTTCAAACACACTTTCGACATCATCACCTTACAATTACCGAACTCCACCAATGGCCAACACCTTCCCACCTAGATATTCAACCACAAACCTCAACTTTAGTTCTTTGGATTCTAATCCATTGCCAATTTCTTGGAGCAATGGGACCCTCAACTACGGGAAAAATCAAATGGGGTCCTTGAACTTTGGATCAACACAGGCTCAAGAAAATATCTACCATTCTTACATTCAAAATAAGAGCATGATGGCGCCCACTGCAACCAGTAACCAACATTCTCTACAACCAGACACCATTGAAGCTGCAACAAGAGCAATCACATCAGACCCTAATTTCCAATCGGTTCTACAGGCGGCACTGACGTCGATAATTGGCGGTGTTGGGATTGGAGTTCAAGGAGAAGGAGAGAAATCCGGGCAGAATGTGAAACTGGAAGACACATTTCCAGTGTTCTCTAGCTTTCCTTCAACTTCAAACGCAAACAAATGTTCATCAAGCTTCTTTAACAAATCAACGGCAGCAACGACGACAACGATGAATAAGCAAGCTCCCGGTTCGAATTCATTGCCATTTTCTAGCTCAAGGAGTAAATCTACTTCGCCAGAGAACAGCAGAGACCATGTGGTTTGATGGATATAATTAGGGTTGCATTGGATTAATTTTCTTTTGTAATTTTATATTTTTGTTTGATTAAAATAGTGAATCATGATAACACAAGATTAAATTGTAATTAATTTGTATAATTACGTATTGTAAGATTTAGTATACATTTAATTTTGGCGAGGGGTGATGTATATGGTGATCATAAGAAAACTGTGCAAAGTTAGATGGTGATTGAAGCCAAAATAAATGAATAAATATGCCTCCATTTCTCATATTAGCCTAATACGTACAACTTAATTATTATTTATTTATTGCTTATAAAAATAAATACAAAATTTGACTCGATTATGAACACCATCAAAGTGAAAACAGGTCAAACCATACCAAATCAAACTGTTTAGGTGAGTTAGCGGTCCGATCTAGTTTGGAAAAGAAAAAAAAAAAAAAAGCCAGACCATATCGGTTGATATGGTCCACGGTTTAAGATACTCGTTTGAAGGTTTCAGCATCGTATATATAACATTATATATTTTTATATATTAAATCCATGCATGTAATTAATTATATAAATTACTCAAATTGTAAAACCTAAGTTATATATTTTCCAAACTTTCTCAACTCTTATCAATTTCTCGTTTTATGTCCTCTCATTCTCTTGTTCTCTCAATTCATAACTCGTCGATTGTCGATTTTCTTCTCATTTTTATTATCTGACTTCTTTCAACCCTCTCGTCACTTTTTTATGAGCATTTGCATTTCTTAATGTAGATTTTCATCTCATATGCCATGATAATCTCAAACTACCTAATTAGTGAAGAGACCGTCATTTGATGGTTTGATGTGACTGATCTAGCTAGTCACTTCATGCTCTTATTGTTTGGTTTGTGGTTCGCCTAAACTATACTGTGAACATAGACTCGGTACACAAGTACTATATAAGAATGTTAAATTTGAGTACTCGTTCTACATGTGGCATACATACATATATACTAGAAATGTACATGTGCAATATTGTAGATTAATCTATCTCTATTGAGTCCGATAACTCGAACCCTCAATCATGATTCATCTTTTGCCGTCTATCTCGATTTTACTTTATGGATTGTGTGCTTTTGATAAAGTAAGAATATAGAAATATTCAAATGACAACACTGTCAACTTACAAGAATGTGAGAACGCATATATCAATGTAATTTTATATAAAAAAATCACATGTGATATATTAAGGAACGGTCAACCCAAGTCATGAGTGCTTGGTGTCGCGACCTCGAAGTTAATCACATATGAAATAGCATTATCGTGTCCTCATGTATAAATTGACTTCATTCTTGTTATACGTCCACCTAAAACGTAGAGAACCGGTTTAAAATGTAATAGATTATCCATTGCTATACTTGGTAGATTTTTTAAAATACGATGTCTTAATAAAAAATATTTTAAAAATACATTGTTGTAATAAAGAAAAATAAAAGTATAATGCTATAATAAGAAAATTATTGAAAGTAGGTTGTTATTTCATGCATTTAACCTTAATTAAAATAAAAACATAATAAAAATTATAAATTAAGATTAAAAAACGACGATTATTCAAACAGTTAAAGAAAAACCATCACTACAACAAATCAATATAAATATTCCCATCTAATATGTATTTTATTTTAAGACATTTGATTTGTGATGGATATATAATATATTTTCTAGTAAAAATTAGAAAGAGGTTAATCACATTAAATTTTAGAGCATATTACGCTTCTAGACCCTATAGTTCGTTCAAAGGCGGATTAGTCCTTTACAACGGTTGTTAACTAACATCGTTAAGTAAAGGGACCATATGTATTATGAAAATGAAAAGTTAGGGATCACTAGTATAAATAGTTTGTTTTCAGAATCAAATCTAAAATTTGAATAAATCAATGTAATTCACTTAAAAATAAAATTATAAACTTCTTAGCCTTTTACTATGTAGTATTTATTAAATGTATGATTAATTAATCAATAAAATAACAAGGACAATGCTCCAAGCTAAAAATGTGGGACTAAAAATTTGTTCAAATAGAAATATTTAATTTCATATGTGATGTACATTCTTTATGACAATTAATCAATATTTAAAATATTTTTTGTATAATAATAGCATATCAGATATATCGTCAAAATAGAACAATTTGTTTTCGAAATTGAAAAGGTAAAAAAGTTGAAAGAGTATCAATATATGAATTATGGGTCTGTTTATTCTATTATGACCGGTTAGTATTTAAATTCGGTTTTTGTTAAAAATATTATTGATTTGGATAATTTTATGATTATAATTTTATAATAAGTATTATGATATTGTTGTATACGCTCCCCCAACCCAATTTGGTGATGATCATTGACTTTTTGTGGGTCAAATTAAGACCTCAAATAAATAGGTTTTAATTAATTAAGAGGAATACAACTTGTATAACAAGTATTAAAAGTGATCAATTTTTAATTTTTATCAAAATATATATTTTTATTATGTAAATTTAATATCAAAATCATTTGTTTGTTGCTTATTTATTAAGAAAAATGGCTTATATATCACTTAGCCAAAAATAAAATAAAATAGAATTGTCTGGATTCAACCGTTTATTCTTCTTTTTTACTATTTGCTAGCTTCTTTTATGGGTTTTATTCATCTCAAATTTCATGAAATGGTATAAAGAAATGTGGGTTATATTTAATTTTAATGAAAAAATCAATAAGGGTAAAAAGGTAATTTATATTATTCAGAATAATAAACAAACAATAATTTTGTATAGACAAAATACATACAAGACTTATGAAAAAACAAATAAATAATCTGTAAAAAAATATTAACAAAATTTTGATGCTATAATTGTATTATTATCGAATCATCTTTGAACAATGGCATGGTTATCGTGTATAAAGCGTAGCTTATTCGAGTAATGACCATTTCTTGATATCAGTCAACTTGTATATATCTTTATCAGAATTGATGTGGATATTAAATTCAGCATTCAAAAGACATTTGACAAAAAGTAATATTAACATTGATGGAGTGAATCCATCATGAATATCAACAACCGTAACGATTTTAGGTATTGTTTTTAATGAAATTTAGTCGAAAAGAAAGGAACATATTTGATGAACAATTTGACAAGGAAAATATCTTTGAGAGTTGCGGCCGTCAATGTTTATGATTTAATTAAAAATAATAATAATTTAGCATAAAAATCATTATTTTTTAAAACTAAAAATAATACTTGTTAAATAAGTTTTTATTTGTCATTATCAGTAGGTATTTTGAACATTTGTCGATATCATTGTTTTAAAACATATACTATCATGAATGTTAATAGTTATACGAATTCACCCTTTTGAGGCAAAGCAAATCCGACACTTAACGTATCTTGATTTGTTGACTAAAGGGGGGAAAGGAAAACATGTTGTAATAATCCTCAACTTAAAATGGTTAGAGTATCTTTAACAAATTCTTCAAAATAGAGAAGAGCTACATCAAATTGGAATCAACTTTGAGTTAATTTATATTTTGAGGAACCAATTTTCAAAAGTATCATTTTGGGTCTGAAGCAAACTTCTTGTATATTTAAGGGTCTCATTTACCTGATGACCTCTTAATAATGACATAAAACATGTAAATGTCAGCTACGATTCCACGTCATATTTAAAATTAAAAATTTAAATCTAAAATAATGACATGGTGTATTTTCTAAATTTCAATATTTTAAATTTATTTTCCTCTCATAAATCTTCGTCTTCTTCAAGAACATGAATAAACCCTAAGATTTGCTTAAATTAAACTGTAATGATCAATCATAAATCCATTAAAAATATGGATCATTTTTTCTTATAAAATCCATGATACCAAAAAATAATAGATTTTCATCAAAAGACAGAACTTAGTCCAAAAATTTCTAAAAACCCTAGCTAATCAAACATATATATATGACAATGTGGATATGGTATCAAACAGGTGACTAACACCAAAAGAAGCAATCAATCTTTTTAAAGATTTAGGTTCCCAAGAAAATAAGTGAATACATATATAGGTTTTCAACACGGTTCTCTTCTTTGGATTTGTGTTCGAGATCTGGAAATGGGAATATACCTGAACCTACGCTATTATAGCGGTTAAAATATAAATTAGCGGTCAGGACCGATATTTAAAATAGTGGTTAATATAATATTTCTTACAATATACATATATATATATATATATATATGTGTGTGTGTGTGTGTATGTATGCATACATACATCATATGCATTAACTAAAAATATAGTTTTAACATCAAAACATTAACTTAAACAAGTTTTGCAAAACAAAATAGAAAAAGTGTTCTTAAACGACTTCCTTTCAAATTCCAAGTGATGATAGAAACAAAGTTATTGTTAATTGTTATATTATTATGTTAACATATTAAAATAAAAACATAGCCCAACTCAAAATAAAAACCCAACTGCCCAAGTTGAAAATCGAAAATAAATCCCCAAAAAAACCCAAACTGAATAGTGCTATTGCGGACTGCAATTTGACCCTATATATCAGTCAAATTGCGGTAAATTGCCCCGATATCAGTGGCACCACTATTTACACTGATATTTTGCATAGGTTTGACATCTGATGTTGCGTCGCCATTAACAACATAGATCTAAACAAAATCGGTGTTCGAAATGTGTTATTCGTGTTGCCAAAAAAAAGTCGTTTAAAGAGATAACTAGCGGCAAGAGGCGGAGAAGGAAGTCGTTGCACAGCCGGTGGCAACGAGGGGGGCAATTTTCCTCATCGTTGTTGCCATGACGATTCTGTACAATCATGTATTTGAGATTTGAAAATCATGGAGTATTATCTAACCTTCTTTATATTTGAACCATCACCATCACCATCACCGCCACTTGATGTTCTTTGCCACCGTTGTTGTTGTTCATGAAGCCAACCTTTTGTTTGAATTTTTATTTTTTTCAGTTTATCTAACCGTTACCGTCACCATCACCGTCACCGTCACCGTCACCGTTATTTTTGAAGTCATATCTAAATCTTTAAAGCCTATCTAACCCTTTATTTGAGTTTTTATTTTTTAGTTTCTGTTAGTTTTGTTTTGTTTTGTTTTTTTTTTAATTTAATAATAAGTCAATGACATATGTCATTTTATAACATCCACGTAAGCTATTTTTATTATTATTTTGGCATGTCATGTTAGAAGAAAGAGTAACCTATTAAATGGGTAAACCAGGCCTTTAGATATATGAAAAGTTTACTCTAGACCTTAAAATGATACTTATGAAAGTTGGTTCTCCAAATAAGTTTTAACTCAAAGATGGTTTCGTTTTAATGCAATTTTTCTAATAGAGAAAAATGAAGTTTGTTTAGCATTTTGTGCTCAAACACCTTCTTCAAAATTAAGAAAATAGGAGATATAGTGTATTTTTCTTTAAATTTAGAGAATTCTTCAAAACTTCATTTTTGTTATTTCCGAAATATTTATCTCCACAAATCCAAATGCTGCAAAAGCCTTTGTCGTCATAGAGGTTCATATGCGATGGCTCCAAACCATTCGAAATCAACCAAGGAATTAGCTAATGAACATAAGTTGACCCAGAAATCTACAGTTACCTAAAAATATTTGTCTCCAACTAAGAGCATCTCCAATGGGGTGTCATGGGGAGTTTAATGGGAACCATGACATGCATCATGCATTGTGAAGGGTGTCATGGGGAGTTTAATGGGGGAAGAGTTTAATGGGCATTGCACGCATCATGGGAAGATATTACATTAATTTTTATTTTTATTTTTCTTAATTTATAAAAACAACATAATTAATAAAACATTTCATTAATTTCAAAATACATTACATTAATAAGATATTACATTAATTTTAAAATACATTACATAAACTACATTTAGTTTTAATTTCATTTTCTAGCTTTGGTACTTTTTAACTGATGTATTTTAGTCTCGTACTTTTTATTAAATGTATTTTAATTTCGTTTCATTTTCATTTTAATGTATTATTCCTTATTTTTAGTAGATTTTTAAATTTGTTGGTAAAATTATATTTATAGATAATATATATATATATATGATGTGGAAATCCATTAAACTCATTGGAGTGTTATGGAGTGTGGGTATAAAATGATAGAGTTGTATGGTGAGTGGAATGCTGATGTGGCAGTCCATGACACTCTTGTAGAGTGTCATGCACTGGAGATGCCCTAACCATTAAAATTAACAGGGAGATCAGAGAAAAAAATATTTTTATCATATTAAATATTTTTGTAATATAATTAACGATAAAATACTTCAAAATGTAATTTTTTTCAACTTAAAAGGAATTGTATATAATTATAAGAGTATTTGAGGTGAGGCTTTGATGGTCATATGACTTGGCCCACAACAATTCAGCCCAAAATCCTTTATCCAAAAATAAAACCTCTCAGCCCAACATTCATGGTCGAATTGTATGATAACAATATAAACTTTGCATTTATGTTCTTGCTTCGGTATCACATTGGAATTGGAATTGGATCATACAAAATTACCACTATAACCTCTTTTATCAAAATTTCACATATAACTTCCATATTTACCTACTAACAACATCTTTTCCCAACCCAAAAGAAAACAAGGACACATCAACTTCTTTGAACAATTGCAAAATACAAAACATTACGGAAAAAGTCGCAACATTTTGCACACCCGATAAACAACAGAACAAAAGAAACATCCCAAGTAATGACTTTAATTGTAACACTTCGACCATGCCTATTTTTCATCTATACAAAAGAAAAACCCGACAATGGACAATTAAAAACACGATCAAACAACCATAAAATGTGAAGTGTTTGTATATATAGATATATTCCAGATTACTTTGAAGCGGAGTTATGTTTCCATGCTGATCTCGACCGCCGGGGGACCATCCTACCGCACAATGGGGATCAAAGTTAGCAATACAACAAGCAAAGCAAAAAGTAATGGTGATTTGGAAACATCAATTTATCTGCATATTTATGTTTTCCAACAAAGACTCTTGTGGACAGTAATCTAATGAGGTTCCACATATTCTCACATGGTATCAGAGTAAAAGTTTATCCCTCTAGAGACTAGATACTCTAGGACAATCCATACCCATCTAACCTGGACAACATTGGCTAGACTTGTATCATTTTTCCTAAATACACATTGGAACCTCCTTTCTAGGCTCAAAGGCCTTTTTGGAGAGTAATATAAGGTTCCAAATATTCTCACAATAATAATCACCATTAACAGGATTAAGCCATATAACACTATGAAAGAAAATGTTAATGAGGATGTTCTTACCATGTTCTCTTTGTTTTCTTCGGTAATTGCCTCCTCCGGAGAACTTACCACGCCTGCCAAGTAAGTATCAAAGAGTAAGAAGGGATATGGTAACTCGCAGCGGTTAAAAAGTTGAAAGTTATAACACAGGAAAAAATATGTATTATTATGTTTGTTGAACTATTTCTCCTCTATATATATTGGAACCTCCCTTCTCTACTCGAGGGCACTTTTGGAGAGAAAAGGAGTTCCACACAACGCAAACGAATGTAAGTGGGAAAAAGCATGGGGTTGATTGGTGCATTTACTGATTTCAACCTTAGGCTCAATTTAATGTTATCTAATAACTCTATTTGTGAAAGCCAAAATAATGATGTCACCTTCAGTATCAGATTTCTTTCCATTGCTCTTCACCATCTGTTTCTCTTTGTTGGATTTCTTGCTTGGCTTCGGCAAGTCATTTTGCATCTTGCTACGCCCCCCTTGCAAGGCAGACTGCTGATCGACTGTTTTCTTGTTTGTTGAAGATTTTGTGGTGGATACAAGCTTCTTCTGGTTGGTTTCCTTGGCTGATTCTTTGGCAGTGGAACCAGCACTATTGTTCGAGGACCTTGGTTTCAGTTTGGGAATTTCGTTAACAGAAGACAAACTGTGTGCTTCATCAGATGATGATTGTGTTCCCTGTTCTGGCTCATGGGAACAATAAGTTTCGGAAACTTGCACCTGCTCAATGCATTTTGGTATCTCATAGCTTTGGAGAACTTCTTTAGCAGATTCTCCTAGATCAAGAATGTTGTGGCGGAGAGCGTAGGACTGAAGCTCATTTCTGAGTAGTTGAAGATTCTAGCATTTTAAATAGAATAAAACAACAAAGAGCAAATTTTAACTTGTATATTCTTAAGAGACCTAAAGATACACATCAGTAACGTACGAGGATAGAACCCATCATCATAAATGAATGATGTTGACAAAATGAGACATATCAAGCTTTGCAAATGAATTCAGAACTAAATTGTAATACCCAAAGTTATTCAATCAGAGAAATTGTTGGCAAAATGTTTGATAAAGCCATAATTTTCAATACTGAATAGAGAATGAAGTCAATGGAGAAAGATCTGAGATACCTCACAGGCAGCTACTTGGGCAAGCTTAAAGAAGCCAAGCGACAGTTGGTGCTTTCCAGCAGCTTCAGAGAGCTTGATCTGAGAGAGCCAATAGGAAGCTGAAGATAGAACATTGAATTTCTTTCGGCTAGAAACATCTGAAACGGGTGTGTCACTTTTAGCCTCAATGTTCCTAGATCTATTTGCTCTAGCCTCGGATATTGGAGTTATGTTGCAAGCCGGTTTAGGAGCAGGGCTGGCAGTTGACTTGGTGGGAATAGAGAGCCTCCTAGGAGGTTTAGAAGATTTCTGTTTGGCAGATAAATCAAGAGCACTAACACTTTGACTCACACTTGAAGAAGGTCTTCCCCTAAATATATAATTAACATGAACCATAATTAGTTAACTTGAACTCGTACCTTCCCTTCAATCTTGTGCAAATGGATAAATAACTGAAAATAAATCTAAACGTAATTCATATAAAACCCTTTATGGTTTATTGCACAAAAGAAACGTTGTTGTACATCCAGACAAATCAGACGGCATTTTTATGATATGATTTGACTGGTGTAGATACTTCATTTCAAACAGCACAGTTTGAAAGAATTTCAAACCACCACTTACAGTGTAAGAACAACAAAATTGAAAACCACAAGGGTTGTACGGCAGTGGTTGAGACCTCAGGATGTGGTGGAATATCCTATCTGTCCAGAGCTAGGGCCTAGGGCTCTATAACAGTTGTGGCCACTCACGATTAGTCCGGACATTGCCGGTTCCAAGAAAATAATTAATTCCTCAAACCGTAATGCTCTAAAACATTAAACCTTTCCATAACATCCTAGCAAAATTCACAACATTTGCATAACAGAGACCAAAATTGGAATCAAAATTCAACATACAACACTTTTTCCGAACCGAGAATTGAACCTCAACCAAAAATTACTAACCGCAACAAATCAGAACGACATTCGAAATGACGCGTACAAATCAAAAGTTAAGCGTGTAGACAATATATTTATATGTATAGAAAATTGGTAAAGCCAAGATTGAACCTTCTAGAGGCAGTTGATGGAACGGAGATAGGGGGCTTATCATCCCTGGACTTAGTGGCCGATCGGAGTGGATAGCGAAGAAGTTTAGCCGATCCTCCTCCCTTATTTCCTACAACAATCATCTCAAATTTCAGAAACAGAAACAGCGTGAAGAGTATCAAAATTAAGAACTGAAATTAATTACCAGAGACAGACGATTGATGTTTCAAAGCATCCTCCATTTGATATAAGTAAGTAACTGAAATTGAGGTTAGAACAAGAGATAAAGCGCAATTAAGGTTTATAGGGAGGTTGGGGGTATGGGCGGGAAATAAGAGTGGGTCTTCTTCAAAACTTAAATTTGTAACGTTGAAAGGCATCATCTTTCCCAACTCCATCCAACCGTTCAATTTTAGACGCTCTCTTTTCTTTTTCTTTTTCTACCCGTTGCTCCAACCAACCCCACCACCTTTTGTATTAGACTGAAATCGACTCTCGTTTACAAACATCACTATACCTGCAAGTATCTGCAGCCAACTTTTCAAAATAAAAACAGATAGATGATCTTGAGTTTGAATCGTTAATAAAATGACACGTGGCTCACTTCCTAGAATGAAGGCTTGAGATGAGATGAGCACCTCCGCAGGCGCAAATAATAGTCCAACATTTCTGCTCTATCCTTCACAAGTTTGGAACTTTAGTGGCACTCGAATTGACTTCTTTTATAAAAATTTCCCCCACAAGAGTTGCTTGTTGTTTGTTGAGACGGTGATTTTGTTGAAAATGTGAAAAAAAAAATGGTTAAGAAATGAATTTGATCAGCGTAAATGACTACTTTTTTGATTTACCGACAATAAAATGTATAGCAAAATGTAGCCGATTCATTTAAAAGGCAACAATTTATTGAAAAACATCCAAATATGGCCGAAGAACAAATTGCTCAAACACGATCAAAAGGTTGGAGTTTGGTTAGTAAAATGTTTGTGGAATAATATTAGAATTTGAAAATTTAGAATTAAATTAAATGAGGCTCGCTACGTGTTTGCTTAGTAAAATAGAATGTCATCAGTAAAATGAAATGACGTTAAGCCTTCACTAAGTCTTTATAATTTTCTTAGTAATATGTCTTGATGATTTCATGCTTTCATTTTCTTTATTACTCTTAAATCATTTTTATTACTTTGTTATTGTTTTTATTAAAATTATATTTTTATTTGATCAAACACTTTACTTAATAAATCCAACATTTTTTAATTAAATTTATAAAATTATAATTTTTATTTTTGTTACTTAGTAATATAACATCATCAATATATCTCTCTCTCTCTCTCTCTCTCTCTCTATATATATATATATAAGCAAAATGTGAAGTTTCTTGGGTGACATAATGTAGAAAAAATATTCTTCAAATTCTTTTTTCCTTAAATTTTTAGTAATTTTTACTTTTTTAACTTAGTAACACTACAAAAAAAAAAAACTAGGTTTATAGGACACCATCAATCTCTAAGCGTCCCAATATATCGTTTTATATGACTTAATTTATAGAATCAAAAATATAAAGCATTCTATCTAAAGGCGTAGTAATAAGTTTATATGACGTTTTTGGACTTCTTAACAAGTCTTTTGGAACATTTTTAATACAAAGCATCGCATTAATAATTTTATAGGACACTGTTGAGAAAGTGTCCTATAAACTCAAATTTTTATAGGACACTTGTTTTTATAGGACAGTTTTTCAAATAGTGTCCCATAAAGTTGTTAATGAGACGCTTTATATTAAAAGTTTTCTAAAAAACTTATTACAACGTCAAAAAATATCATATAAACTTATTACAACGCCTTTAGATAAGACACTTTATTTTTTGGTCCTATAAACTAAGTCCTATAAAGAGGTCTATTATGACGCTAAGAAATAGGAAACGTCCTATAAACCCGATTTTGTTGTACTGTAATGTAACATCATCAATATATATATATATATATATAGGGGTCGGTTCAAATAAAAACTATTCAATTTGTAAAAACCGTGAAAACCTCATTCAACCAATCATAATTTTTCATTTTGTTCATTTTTTTGTAATTATGAGAGGTTGATTAACCATTTTTATTGTGGAGGGTGTTAATCATGAATANCTGACTTATTATTTTATTTTTATTATATTATTGAATTGTTATATAGATTAATTTTCAAAATAAATGAATTTAACATATGAACTATTATGGACTTCTTTTATTTTTTGCACACATTTTGTATGAATAAGTTTAATATACGATTATTTCAGGAGTTTGATGAATTTTAATAACTTTGATTTTGTTGATAAAATGGAAATTTTACCTCCTTGATGGATATTTATACATAAATGTTTATGTGTTGGATATGGTTTGACATATCTAGAGGATTGTATAGTTTAGCCTAGAATGTAATGGATTCATAGACATAGAATTCGATTTTATTTGATGTGCATGCATGGAATGATATTACCTTATTGTAACGTGAAGTAGGCATTAGGTCTACTTAGGCAATATAGTGTGGACTTCTGGAGTCGGGCATCGCCTGTTAACCTATATAATGTAATTCTAAGTGAACGAGTTTAACTTGAGATGTAAATGAAGTTTATATAACATAGATCCGAGACTTACTTTTAATGACATGTATATCAAGATCTCAAGGTAACGGGGCCACTAATGCTTGAGTAGAGTGATGATTGCCGGTAGATGAATTTTTGGGTCATCGTCTTATTTGGAGTTACGTATGGTAGATTCTTTTTTATGATTGTAGTGACACCCGATCGTAAACTAAATATAGTATTGGTTTAGATTAGTAGGTTGTTAGCTAGCCATCATCTACTCTTTTAATGTAAACTCTTGTACTATTCCTCATTATTAGGTGATTTTATTTGATTAAGTTTTTACCCCGTATTATTTCTACGGTTTAAATGGTCTCCTATGTTCGGGATGTTACAGACCCTCAACATTTATATAACCAATTAGTTATTTGATTTGTTAATTTACACATGTCAAAATTTAATTGGAGAAAGAGGGAAAACATAGTAAGAGATGATTTATAGTTTTTTTTTTTGAACGGCTTCGCCTCAGCGGTAGAGGCACAAGGTTTGATCACGGTTGACATTATCAGGACCCCGGATCGAACCCACTCCACTACACCCCCCCAATTAATTCGGTAGGGCTGCTTTCACCAAATCCCCAAGGAAGAAACCCTAAGGTGAGGTCTCGGACCTCACCTTCATCAGGAAAACTCCCTACCACCCAAGCAACACCCGGATGGCAAGAGATGATTTATATGTATGAAAGAAAATGATAATTGAAATTTTTTTGCTTAATTAAAGGTGTTTAACCGTTTTCCAGCAAATCACGTTCGTGACTTGTGGTTCATAATTGGATATAAAGTTGAAGTCATGGAAAGACATATAAAGTTAATTGACTAATTCATGTTCATCAATATCCGAATTTTAAAGGAAAAAAGACTTAAACATGAAATAAATGTTAAAAGAATGAATGAAAATCGAACTTGAAAACTATACGAAATGTCGATATAAAGCATAAAAACATAAGTAAATAACTTGTGGTTTTCTATTTAATTATATAAACTCACAATAGTTCTTTGATAATAGAAGGACCGAACGAGAACAAAGTCAAAATTACAGAATAAGAAAATGGTAAAATTCACATATGTGATTTTACCAAAGGGTCTTTGGCCTAACAGTATCGTAGCCCTTGACCTTCTAGGAGGTCAGGGGTTCAAACCTCACTATAGGTGAGAAGGGTGTGTGAGTTTCTTTGTTGCATTTGCCGTATATAAATATTATATACTTAAAAAAACATATGTGATTTTACATGCGGTTATGAAATACGATCATCGCAAAGGTGAGTAGACAATCTGACCCGCGAGCTCAAGTCGTAGCCAAAGTCATGTGAATCACATGTGATTTTACATGTGATGTTGATGTAAAATCACATGTATATAATTCGAAGGTTTTCGTATTCTTTTATTTATTTATTGTTTTCGTATGAATCTGACTAACTCTCTCTCCCTCTATCTCTCTCTCTCTCTCTCTCTATATATATATATATATATATTCGAAATACACACACAAACACGTGTGTGTATATGTAAGTATTCCGGTTGAAAACAAGCACTTATATATGGTGAGCTTAAAAAATCTATGAGCCATTGATCTCTTTTGATCCAAGTAATTTGATTTCCCACGTATTTGTGAAGAATGGACATTTTCGTCTTTTTTTTTCCCTTTCAAGGAAGGTTGAACCTTCACCACGTGTATCGCTATAACTAGAACCGTAACTTACTCATGTATGTGAACAAGCTAGGTGATCAAAGGTATGTGAAATGTGTGAAGCCGTGAAGGTAACCGAAAGCAAAGGTGGACGAAAGTTCCATATTGTATTTTTTGTGAGTCATTAGATAAAAAAATTCATCCATAGGCAAGGGTGGGTGCTTGGCCTGATGGCCTAAGAATGTTGATTAAACTTGAATTACATATATAAAAGAGACTTGAGAACAAGTGAGACCATTTTTAACTTTCGTGAGACCCGTGAAACCATTTTGAAACCGTTGAATGATCAAACCTTCGTAGGAAAACCATTGTGAAGGTTCGGTAAAACGTTTAGTAATCCAATGATTTCCTAGATATATATATATATATATATATATATATTTATATATATATGGTCTCATGAAAAATGGTTGGTCTCATAAAAATCTAACACTATATATATATATATATATATATATATATATTACCTATATTTTGCCAATTCATTCACAGAAAGCATGCAAAAAAGAAGGATGAACTTTCATTATATGTTTTTACATCTCTTTGACTAAACAAAGCTTGTTTTCCACGATTTTCTTATTTGACAAAAAGGCATATAAATATAATACAAGTGCGATACAGTATACGAACCTTCTAGTACGTTTACATATATACACATATAAATATATGAAGGGATTAATTCATGATTTAATGTCTTTTGTCAATGGTATCACGAAATAATTATCGTAATATACATTATTTTTAAAAATTAATTATAAAATACTTGTCAAAGAAATTGAGAATAAAGTTATTACAGAAACTCTAATTTTGGCTATTTTTGGTCCATTAAATATATATTAAGTATTTGGGTCATTAAAAAAATTGGTATACTAATTTCTTTTCAAAAAAAAAAAATCTTTTAACCAATCAATTGTCGGTGCACTTGTTGATCTACATGATCGGTTTGAGATATAACATATATTAACCTCAAGTATAAACAAATTAACCCCAAAGTTATGTTTGACAAACTAGTTGATGGTTTATAAGCTAGTTGTTGACTGATGAACTAGTTGTTAGCTGATAAGTTACTTGGTGAGCAAATTATATTTACCAAAAACTAGCTTATAAATATATAATATGACCAAAAAAGACATTTTAAAAAATAGTCAATAAAAATATATTTCATAATGTAATTCAAATAAATTTTTATATAATTAAAATAAATTTCTAATAATATAATTTGTTAATTAATGTAAATAAGATAGTAAAAAAATTGAATAATATAATGTATGAATTGAAAGAATTTAAAATTGATTATTATAGACATATATTAGAAGGATATTCGCACAATACAGCGAGATACATCTTGATTTTAATATTTCATTTTGTTCTTTATCTTATTCGATGTTATTATATGGTCTTATGTGATTTTGAAAAACAATGATGTTTTTATTTTTAAATAAAATATAAGTTTGAAGATGTCATAAAAATTTGACAAAAATATATCGATATTGGTATCAAATTAACTATTTAAAATTCCTTTTTTTTTTTGTAATTTAATTTAGGTACAAGTAATTTCTATTTGGTTTAATAATATAATTTTTTTATAAAGATAATAATTATTTATTTTGTTAGAACTCGATAATTATTCTAATTATATTTTAGATTATTTATATTTTAAAATAAGATATTTATCCTCTATTTGATTATGTTTATCCACAATTAGTTATACGAATTCAATTATCGAGCTTTAATAAGTTATATTTTTGAATAATTTACTTGTAATMTTGAATTTTAAGTAAACATTGGTTGTATGTGGTTTTGAGAAAGTAATAATGTTTTTATTTTTGAATAAAATATAAA